TAAAATGTTCTTATTTTCCTTAAAGTAAGACAAATTCACTACAATTTTAAAATGTATTAAAACATCTTTTAAGAGAATGTACCTTGATTACTTTATAAAAAATGTTTCTTGAGTGATATTTCAGCTATTCTCCATACAATAAAAGGGAAATGTTACCAGGACTGTCATGCTCCAACCATGGCAAAAAAAAGAAAGAAGCCAAGACAGTATCATAAAAGACTATATTCCTGTATAAGTCTTCAGAAGCCTTTCTATAGCTCTGTGTGAGGAAAAGACAGAAAATTGAGCTGTTTCTGAGTAGAAATTAGCATATAGCCCCAAAAGCCCCAAACGTACGTGTGGAAAATATCACCAACCCGATGTTTCCCTGTGCTTCTGATAAAACAGCTTCCCCAGACATGCTCTTTGGGAACCCTGAGCAAAGCTTTCAAACACTTGAGTCTTTATCAGACATTTTTCATTAATGCCTGGAGAACTTCACATTTATCAAATGTATGACTGTAGGACACATGAAAGATGCTGAAACTTCACGCTACGAGAGATGAGCACAGCACTGCAGGCCCATGTATCTTCAAAATGACATATTTAGTCAGAATTAAAACATGAAGACATATGTTACACCATTTCTTGATGCATGTGGCATGTTTCTAAAAAAACTAGACACTCTCATTATAATCAACATATTCTACATTATCTACACTGCATGCTCTCGATGTGATGATATCCCCGATCAGAATTTCTATTTTTGAAGTCTATTTTTTCCCCCATTAATCTGAAATAAAACAATTTTAGTTCCAAATTTGACATCCAACTGTTACACCAGAGAAATATTGTAATGTTTTTGGTCTCTGGAATTTTCATTTAAACATCATTCACAATTATTTAAAGACTGCAATCTGATTCATTTCTGAGTGAAACATGATATCACCTGAGCGAGATAAAGACATTACAAACCAATTTTTACAACTTTTTTTTCTTCAGAATAATTACCAATGATTACTTCTCAACATGATCAGGAAAGTGCATAAAAAGATACAGTAAATGTAGTTTTTAATCTGAATTGCAATCAATTTTAACATACATTACCATCACCTACCAAAAGTATTTTCAAGAAGATTTTTTTTAAAGAAGAGATTTTTTCATCAAGGATGCAATAAATTGATTAAATGTGACAGTAAAGACATTTAGAATGTTATAAAATATTTCCATTTCTAATAAATGCCGTTCTTTTGAACTTTCTATTCATCAGAAGATCTTGAAACAAAAGTGTATCTCGGTTTCCGCAAAAGTATGAAAGTTTTCAACTTTGATAATCAGAAATGTTTCCTGAATATCAAATCAGCATATTATTATGATTTCTGAAGGATCATGTGACACTGAAGACTGGAGTAATGACGCTGAAAACTCAGCTTTGATCACAGGAATAAATTACTTTTTAAAATATATTAAAATAGAAAACAGTTCTTTTAAAATGTAATAATATTTTAGAATATTACTGTTTTTACATGTATAATTGATCAAATAAATGGAGCCTTGGTGAGCAGAAGACACTTCTTTCAAAATTCTTACTGACCCCAAACTTTTGAACTGTAGTGTAAAATGTTAACAAATATATAAGAGCAAACATCCACTTCAAGGAAAGACTCCAAGCTTTTCCTTCAGTAAAAGTCTTGTGTCATAAAATAAGGGTGTCTAGGACAGCTAATGGACCAGGGGCTGTTGAATGATGATTTAAATCAAGACACTGAGTTCGAATGGCTCTCTGAAAGAACCTTGAGGGTTACAAACACTTTTCCACCGTGTCCTCGTCCAACTCTGCAAGGTTTGCGTTTCTCAAATTGCACACTGTCTCCACTCTAGTGACTTACCAATGCTAGATATGAGAGAAACAGAGAGCGAGGGCTGACAGAATGGGGTTGAAGGGTCATGTCGAGGAGACTAATTGAGCCGACAGAGGGAAGTCACTACTTTGGTACCACATTTCAATGGTGACCTGTCAGAATCGCTGAGACTCTACAGGGGCCATAGAGTCACTTTCTGACAGCACCAAATCTTTTTGGGTAAACTTTTACATTTAATGGTTCTTATAGACAAAAACTTAGTTTCATGAGTTGTTCTGTTAAAGGAACAGTTCACCCAAAAATGAAAATTTGCTGAAAATGTACTCACCCTCAGGCCATCCAAGATTTAGATGAGTTTGTTTCCTCATCAGAAAAGATTTGGAGAAATGTAGCATTCCATCACTTGCTCACCAATGGATCCTCTGCAGTGAATGGGTGCCGTCAGAATAAGAGTCCAAACAGCCGATAAAAACAGTAATCCACAAGTAATTTTACAATTTTAAACAACACTTCAAACAGTTACTAATCCTTTATCTATAATTCTCCAGTGAAAAAGTCATCTGGTCTGAATCAGGAGAGAAATATGCACAGATCAAGCACCATTTACAAATTACACGACAGACCAAAACAGCTCTAAACAAATATGTGGGTGGATTTTGATGTGAGAGACAACAGGGGATGGACTATTTCACTGGAGGAACTGAAGTGTTATTATGGATTATGGACTCATATTCTGGCCAAAAGCGACTGTTTTAAGTTAAAACGGCTTCATGATAGATTTGTTTCTTACAAACACACAGCTTTTCACTTCACAAGATGTTAACTGATGGACTGTAGCGGTGTGGATTACTTGTAGATTACTGTGATGTTTTTATCAGCTGTTTGGACTCTTATGACGGCACCCATTCACTGCAGAGGATCCACTGGTGAGCGAGTGATATAATGCTAAATTTCTAGAATGCTAAATTAAAAGAAAAATAAAATGCTAAATTAAAAATCTGTTCTGACGAACAAACAAACTCATCTACATCTTGAATGAGTAAACTTGAGGTAAGTAAAGTTAAATTTTTGGGTGAACTATTGCTTAGTACTAGCAACTACCTAAAATTTTCCAACAACCACCAAGAAGTGCACTAGCAGCTTACGATTACACAATACTAATTTTACTACCTATTTTACTTCCATTATATTGAATCAGGATATTCAATGAGAAAAATGTATAGGAATTTTTTCCATCAGAAATTTATTGGAATATATGCATTGATAAATCATTCACAAAAAGACCAGGAACATGTCTTAAGAAAGTAAATGGGGTTATATAAATGTAAACATACATTTAAATACTTTTGATTATAATTAATAAGTATAACTTAATTGCATACATTCAATAAATTTAGTAAATGCATGTTTACCTACATTTCTAAAGATATTTTAAGCGGGTGAATTTAGGTTTGTTGTCATCGTTTCGACAGCATGACTATTGGGTCTGTTCTTTTCATTTACCCCAACATGAAATATTAATGATTTTGTTCTTGCTGCAGCAATAATTCATGCAACAGACTTTTAAAATGCACCTCTAAATGTTTAATAACTGCTGAAACGGTGCTCGTGGACGTTGGGGAATATGGTAACTGGGGTATTTCTTTATCCAGTAACCCCTGTACTAACCCAGATTATACAGCAGATTAGTGCTGATGAGATGCAGACATATTCCTTTTAAACCACGACTGCTGATTAGCATATGGAAAGAATCGTCTAAGTTTGACATACACTTGAAGAGATCATGTGTTTTGTTCATCTGAATATTACTTATTCAGAAATCAAAATAGAAAATAGGAATCACAAATCTCTTTATTGCACCAGTTGTTTCTCCTGCACACCAATGAGATTAAATGAGAAAAAAGGAGTTTTCCTGGTCTCCTGTTTCTACTGTCTGAGAAAAAGACCCCAGTAATATCACACGCGTCTCCATTAGCGTTTCAAAAGAGATCTCAACAATGTCTCAACTACGCTCAAATCCAACAGTCTGCAATCAAAAGTCATCTCATTATGACAATATCAATTATAACTCATTTAATTATAACGTTCTCATCTAAATTTCCAAAACCAAATGATAAGCTATTAAACACATTGATTGCTCTATACTCTTACTGCATGTCAACATTTATCTCATTTGTGTCTTTTATGCTACACGAGTCCTAAAAATTTACTTTTTAGCAAATATAGGCCTTTATATTTCAAATTTACAGTCTTGCTCTTCTGGGAAAACAAACTATAAATATTGGATGGGAATATACAAATTGCACAATAAAAAAAAACTCTAGAAAATGGCTGTAATGCAAACTGAAATCTACTGGATATTTAAAAAAAATAATAATTCAAATATGCCCAGCCACAAATTCCTGTGTTAACAGTAAACACAAAAAGAAAGGAAAGCAAAATGTGCTCCTCGAGTCATTTCTGTAAGCATTCTGATGAAATGCACATTAACAAATAACTTCAGGAGGAGCTGAAGAGAGCCAGCGGAGAAATCACATGCAGAGGTAATTATGACAAGGTCAGAGGTTGTGCTGTTATTAATGAAAATAGGAGAAAATACAGTTTCATCTAACGGTTTCTGTGAAGTGCTGAACCTCTGCATTACCTAAACTCTTGACTGAAACTGTCTGTTCATGTCTAGACATACTGATGGGGCTACAGTTTCAGGGTGCAAATCACACCATCCACTGCATGGAGAATTAGCATGAACAAAAACCATCCAAAAACCAAACTAAACAAAACAAAGGCAGACAATGTTTTAATCATAACAGGTAATATTAATCATCTACCGCAAAGCTCAGAATTATAATAATTGTAGACTCACTATCGCCCTCTACTGGCCTGCGCTTACATTACTATTTACACCACAACAATTACATTTCCAATCAATCAGCGTCATTAATTGTAAAGTGAATAAACAGCCTTAAAACAGACATAGCCAATGGAGACCAATTTTTCAAAACCACGCAAAAATATTACACATCATGCTGAATAATCTACTGACACAACTTTCTCTCAAACTCACTTACGACCGTAAGCTACCTCAACACGCAGTTCTGCTTGTAAACATGGCCATATTTTGCACGCTTGCTGTGAGGAAACCCACAGGGATGATCTTACCTCTCCAGTCAGGTGGATCCAGCAGTAATTTCGGGGTATGGGGTGTTCAGAAGACTCTGCTGAGCTCTGTGAAGGCATCTGAGCTCTCGCCGACAGCACCGCCTCACACCGGGACGAATCCTACAACTGCTGCGACCGCCCGGCTCATGAATATTAATTAGGTCGAGATGCCATTGCTCCGTAACATGCCTATCAGGAAGGTTTGCTTATGAATATCAATGAACGTGTGCTAACGTCGCTTCGTAGCCGACTCATTAACAAACAATTAAAACTAATACATTCGCCTCTGGGACATGAAACGGTGGCACTAATCCAACACGGATCTTTACAAACAACAATTCACTGATAAATGCTTCTGATAAATTAATGCTAAATAAATCAATAATGTACCATTCAGTGATGAAAAAATAAACATGCTTTGACAAAGAATGAGCTGGTTCAAAGGCTGAGAGATCATGTGAGGTTGGATAATGTGGTATTTGGCAAAAGGTATTGAGGTTCAAACATTATTACAGGAAATGTGTCAACTGGAAAGCCATCAAGGCCCTTTTTACCGTCTAATCAGATGTTTTTAAAGGATTACTTGAACAAAAAAATCTGTGTGATATTCTCAAAGGCAGTAAGTGCTGCTGAGGGATATGTACAGATTGTTCATAGTTCTCATGTTATGCATGCTCTCTCTCAGACCTGCCAATCAACAGAGAAATGTCATTGATTAGAAAAATTATACATTTGAATTTGCACATAAGAATGTAAGAAATTGCAATATGACTGACCGATTTACTCTCCATGAGATCTGAGAAAATGGAAATTAGAAATCAGCAACCGTCCATCACAATAAGTACAGGCACTTATGTCAGTTTGAAATGAGAAGTGTTGAGCTGTCAGTCACATTATATGCTGCCACAGGTGTATTGAAGCTCACCATTAATGTCTAAAATCTTTGAATGATGAAGTTTACTGAAATGCCTGGAAATCACATGCTGGTATGAAAATAAACTCACTGGAGTCCTAAACGCCCTCTGAGCCTTCAGTATTAAAAACAGATCTCTATAAGAACAGTCAATCAATGGACGTTCGACAGCCAGAGCTTGTCTTTACATTATTTTAACTAATTCATCACAGATCTAAAGCTGCTTTGAAGCTCATCTTTGATATCTGATTGATTATCTCTGTTGATTTTGTGAGCTTGTATAAAACTCAGCTGTGTGTCAGCATGAGTGTGTGTGTGTGTGTGTGTTTGTGTGTGTGTGTGTGTGTGTGTGTGGACACAAAGAAACAGAAAGACAAAGACGTTCACTTCATCTATTTACACATCTAAATAAGCATCTAACATCAAAACCATGTCCAGGTCGTATTTCACCCCAAAATCAAAAGAAAGAACTATTTTTTATATAAAATATTTATATAAAGTAAGTGAAGGCTATTTTTTACAATTGAAGTTATAGTTAATCCAAAATGAACAATTTGCTGAATTTACTCACTCTAGGCTATCCAAGATGCAGATGAGTTTGTTTTTTTCATCAGAACAGATTTGGAGAAATGTAGCATCACTTGCTCACCAATGGATGCTCTGCAGTGAATGGGTGCCGTCATAAGAGTCCAAGCAGCTGATAAAAACATCACAGCAATCCACAAGTAATCCACACCACTCCAGTCCATCAGTTAACATCTTGTGAAGTGAAAAGCTTTGCGTTTGTAAGAAACAAATCCATCATTACTGTTAGACATTATATACCTTCAAACCGCTACTTCTGGCTAAAATAGTCCATAATCCTTAGTAACACTTCCTCCAGTGAAAAAGTCATCTCATATGAATCAGGAGAGAAATATGCACAGATCAAGCACCATTTACGCATTTATTACAAACATGCAGCTTTTTACCTTTTACCTTATTTGATGGATTGGAGTGGTGTGGATTATTTTGATGCGTTTATCAGTTTGGATTCTCATTCTGACGGCACTCATTCACTGCAGAGGATCCATTGATGAGCAAGTGATGGAATGCTAAATTTCTCCAAATCTGTTCTGACAAGTGATGGAATGATGCATTTCTCCAAAACAATTGCAAAACATCTCATATAAATTTGTGGGGTTGCTGTCAGGAAAATAATATGTGATCCTGAAGCACAAAAGCAGTCTTAAGTCGCTGGGGTATATTTGTAGCAATAGCCAAAAAAACATTGTATGGGTCAAAATTATCGATTTTTCTTTTATGCCAAAAATCATTAGGATATTAAGTAAAAATCATGTTCCATGAAGATATTTTGTAAATTTCATTTAAATTTCCAAATATATCAAAACTTAATTTTTGATTAGTAATGTGCATTGCTATGAACTTCACTTAGACAACTTTAAAGGCGATTTTCCTAACAAACCATACATCAATGGAAAGCTTATTCATTTAGCTTTCAGATGATGTATAAATCTCAATTAAAAAAATATTGACCCTTATGACTGGTTTTGTGGTCCAGGGTCACATACTGTATAACAAAGCAAAAAGGAAAAATCTTGATGTTAATTTTCGTGATGCATGTTTTTTTATTTTTTTATTTTGAAGTGAAACTGCACTTTCATAGTTATCTTCTCTATTGTTTCTTCCTCAGTTCAACTGATTATGTAAAATGTAATAAATGTTTTCATCTAATAACCTGATTCTGGAATATAAAAAGTAATAAGCACATGTTTACTGTTGGACAACCTTGGTTTTAATGCCATGCATTTATGCTACATGTTTACTATATGCTATATGTTTAGATGTCAAGTGGTGACCCAACACAATACCAAATCCTCAACTCATATTTAACGTTTTCTAGGTTGTATTTTCTTTTACCATGAAAGGTTTCGTTTTCAGATTTTGGGCATCATGCATCATGCCATTTGACTTCTGCCTGTTTGGACAATGTCTACCAAATGACAATGAAGTTTAATTGGGGAGTATTTTCTATCCTAACTTTGCATGATTATATGGTTAGTTATATTATTTGCATTTTGCAAGACCTGTGACCCATTTTTTGATTGTAACCCACCAGTTGAGAATCACTGATGTATAGTCAAAGGAGATCTAAGCGCTTTCACACATACAGGCACAGATATTCTGCAATAATTGCACTGGCTGAGAAACTCTGATGGATGATTATTATAGGACGTCCGTCTCTATACCTACACACAGCACTGATGCCCTTCTATTTTCAGAGTCGCAGTGATTAGCCTCTTTAATCAGAGCTGACAGCAAGAGCCAAAGAGAGATGTCGTATTGGAATACTGCATGGATGGATTGGAGCCAGAGTGTGTTTATGAGTGAGGCATGTAGGAGTGTGTGTGTGTGTGTGTGTGTGTGTGTGTGAGAGAGAGATTATGTGGGTGTGTCATTTCCAGTCACTCGTTCACTGCCAGTAGAGAAGAAAAAAGTATAATTTTCTAGAGTCATTATCATGATCATATCATGATCTCACCATCTCTCTCTCTCACACACACACACACACAAACTCTCTGTAGCTAAAG